TTGACGGACCGCAAGAAAACATTGAAGCGATGGCGTGACTACTTCGAAAACATCTCAACAGTCGAATTTACTCATCCCGCCATCCCCTGCGCTCCGCCAGTACACGGTCCCGTTCAGAAGATAACCGTGGAGGAGACCATCACGGCCATGAAGAAGATGAAATCAGGCAAAGCAACTGGCCCTGACGACTTAGCGGCAGACTTGTGGAAAGCGGCCTAGGGGGCGCCCGAAGCAGCGCTGGCTCGATACGTTGCACGAGACTTGAAGTCGGTTAACATCCACCCCGATCAAGCATTTAATCGGGAAAAGTGGCGTCAACACATCAGAAAAGCGGACCCCGCCACAAGCGGGACAGACGCTAAAGAATAAGAAGAAGAAGAAGAAGATTCCGTGCGGGTGTTTAATGCGCCGTAGCTTTCAGTACTTTAGTACTTCAGTATTGATCTCGGAGGTTCAGAAAAGCTGTTGAAGCATAAGACATTAGATTCAGTACAAAAAGTGAGAGACAGAAAAGAAAATATATTGACGGAGATGGCACATAAATCCATAACGGGATGACCCGTTCGTCGAGTTTCAAAGAGCAAAAGATATGAAAAACATTGCAACAATTCTCATTTCTGTTGTAAAAATCACAAAAATCAAAATCATTACAGTTAGCTGAAGACGGTTTCGAAGTTATCGTTAACTCCGCTGGATTGAATGCAGGAAAACTGGCTGGCGATGACGATGGTGTGTATCCAATACGAGGTGTTGCATTCGAGGTATGCACGTATGCGTTTGAGGAGGAGGGAGGAGTGCAAAAAAGGTCTTGTACCCATGGCGCGCGTCGTGAAGGATTTAGTTTTTATGGAAGTTTTACCCGAGACATTCTTTGGATCTCTCCCATAATCAAAACGAAGGCCTCCTGCACTATCCTCTGCCCGACTTGGAATATGACATCATCTGTCTTGACGTCAAGCTCAAGAGGACTTACCATAAATGGCCCAACCTAAAGTACTACTGCAAGATTTTCATCGATTACTTAGTTTGTTGGAGAGATTAGCTCTAACTATCGAGCCTCTCCCCCTCCCAGCCATTTCAGACGACGTCGTAATCGTCCACGATCCGCGGAGGATCTCGCTGAAACCGTCCCCGATGTGACCGTGGGAGATCTTTCAATGCCATAAGCGTTGAAGGCTGTCATGAAGTTATTTTGATAAAATGGAATGTGCCCTCAAATGTCACTCGAGATAATTCGGTTTGAATTCAGCAGAGTGTAGATAATTTTGCATAAGATATGGGGAAGAACACGTTATGAAGGGTAAACCTTTTTTAAAACTTCTTTCCATCTCCAATCAAAGCAGGTGATAGCAGCGAAGCAGAAACAGCACAAAATCGCTTGCTCAGTTGTCCAAAAAGTTGAAACCACGGTCTTTTTGACAAGGACGTTAATTCGCCAAATTCATTGACTGCGTTAATTCTCTATCTTGATTTACTCATTGTTTAAAACATGTTCAGGTTGAAGCCCCTTGGCATAAACATTTCAACTACCGCGACTTTTCCACATTCACGATCCCGAAGTGAGTACGTTAGTTTTATTTCTTTAAATTTTCAGTAACACTAGTAAACCTCCCTTGACTCTAAATTAACGTGTCGTGATTAGCTTCAGCTAAAAGTCATGGTTTGCTAGCAGGTCTGAAAGCACTCCCCAGCACATTAACTCACGTTAACCCCATAGCAACATTGATTTCAAAAATTCCTTTTAAGTGGGACTTAGAGGAGATAAGTTCTAAGTACTCCGGAGGACTTCTCACTGGAGGGCCAACTTGGCCAA